AACTCCACTTTAGACCCTAAACCCTTAACCCCTTAAACCCTAAACCCAAACCCTACACCCTAGACTTAAACGCTAAACCTTGAACTAAACCACCAAGTCCAAGTCGCTCTTTGGGTTCGGGTACCCAGGATCCGGAGGAGGATCCCCACTGCCAGCTGGGGCCTAGGTTTCGTGGGTTTAGGGTTTGGGTTCAGGGTTTTAGGGTTTGGGTTTAGGGTTTTAGGATTTTAGGGTTTTAGGGTTTAGGGTTTAGGGTCGTGAAGGTGACCAGCGCTCAACACGTCGGGGAGAGTTATGTTCGAAATTATTGCGTACTCTAAACCCTAAACCCTAGAACCCTAAAACCCTAAACCCTAGAACCCTAAAACCCTAAACCCTAAACCCTAGAACCCTAAAACCCTAAACCTTAATTTTTTGCATGACATAGATTCTAGACTGAGACTCCCTCCAACAGTCTAATTGGGGGGCTTGCATTAGTTTCTCATAGCTCTCAGGTAAGGGCTGAGGGCAGCTTAAACCGTAGCTTCTACCCAGGTAGGTACATTCCAAGATACTGCTGTTTGCCATCTTAGGAAATATGAGGGGCCCTAAACCCTAAACCCCAAACCCTAAACCCTAACCCTAAACCCTAAACCCTAAACCCTTACCTGGTTATAACTTTGGCTTCCTCCTACGCAGGTTTCTACTGCAAGGCTATATGCAGCAAACCTTCACACTGCTAGAAGGATTCCCATGGAGGCAGCACATCTGCAGCTAAAAAGAGCATGGACTTCGCAATTCTGAAAGGCTTAGGGTTTAGGGTTTAGGGTTGCCAAAGCTGCAAAGGTTAGCTTTTGGTAGGTAGCGGGCGCAGTCTCAACAATTCTAATAGAGGTTTGGGGAAACACAATCCCGATTGCAATGGGAAAGCCTTGCCAAGTCTTGAGCCTTCCACATTCACTGGTCGTCCCGTCTACAAAAAACGGGCCTTTCCAAAGTATAGGGATACCCTTAATGACGCGAGAGAGATATGGAGATCACAAAAGGATTGAGGGGTCCCCTGCGGAGGATTACATGACAGACCTTTGGGGAACAAAAAACAAAATGAGCCATAGTCCAAACTACCAGCATCCTCCTTGATAAGCCCTATGATACTCCCCTATATAATCCCTTATATATATCCCCCTTTAAGGAACTTAGACTCCAAATCGTAAGCCTTATATAAACCCCTCCCCTTTAAGGAATTTAGACTCTAAACCCTAAATACTGAAGCCTAAATACTAAATCCTAAACCCTAAATCCTAAACATACCCCCCTTTAAGGACTTTAGACTGTAGCTCATATGTCCGACTGCGGGCCAGTCGCCACGTTCGGGCCAGTCACCCTGCCAATCCTTGCATGTCCATCTTCTTGAGACAGGATGGCTGAGGGTTTATATGGTTTCTAGGGTTTATAGGGTTTAGGGTTCATAGTGTTTATGCTTTATTCGCTTTAGGGTTTATAGGGTTTAGGGTTTATAGTCTTTATGCTTTAATCGGTTTAGGGTTTATAGGGTTTAGGGTTTATAGGGTTTATGGTTTATTGGGTTTAGTGTTTACTGGGTTTAAGGTGTATACGGTTTAGGGTTAAGTGTGGGGATTAGGGTTTGGTGTATAGGGATGTTGAAGGTTGAGCTTGGGCGTGTCATACTAGGATCCTGAATGTATCTTCGGGCAGATCCCTTACTTCAACAGTTTTAGAAGTTCTCTGCGATGCTTGAAATTTCAAGTTACTATAGTGATTAAACCTAAAAACCCTAAACCCTTAAACCCTATAATGCCCTGCCGGGGCTCATGGTCTGCACTTCTTTGCGGCCAGTTGTCGGAGGGCCTGCGTCCGGGCGCATTGGAGCCCCACATTTAGCTCATTACAGCCCCTGAGTAGGAGAAAGAGCGAGACAGAGACAGAGTGAGACAGAGAGAGGGGGAACAGAGAGACAGAGAGAGAGCGGAGACTCCCTGGTGCTCAGGAGGGCATGGGGGAATGGATCCCTATAGTAATCCCTATATGCATCCAAATAATAATCCCTATAATCCATTCCCCCATTCCCTCCTAGGCCCTAAAACCTAAACGCTAAGCACCAGGGAGGAGAGATGTGGATGGAGAAGGTAGAGCTGAACCATCCTTACACTGCAATGCAACGCAGGTTGGCTTGCTTCACCCGCCACGAGGTGGAAACTACTAGAGTGGGGTTATATAGAGGGATTATAGGGTATATATTTGGGATAATGGAAAAGAAAATGGAAACTACTATAATGGTTTTGACAATGCATACCTTCGTTCTTGCGGATGCCTTCAGGCACACAGTTGTGATTTGAAGCCTATCTCGCACCAGGATCTTGTATAGAAAGCTGCTGAAGCTTTATCGGATGATAACTGTTGAGGGGCCAAGAAGTTTGCGAGGATTCGGGACATAAGAATGCAGATTATCCAGTACAAGTGCTATTATTTCTTGTCGCTTTATCTTTACTTACTGTTGTTACGAAAATTATTACTACTACTACTACTACTACTACGACTACTACTACGACTACGACGACGACGACGACTACTACTACTACCATGCCTTTGTACCTCCTTGTGTAGTAGGTGTCGGAAAATTGTTGCTCAGCTTTTTTTGAGTTTGGGTCCCCTTTGCACACCAATGACAAATGTCGTACTGAGACTGTGAGGACGCCCCCTCAATTTACGTGCTACCAAAGGAGGCCCCTACAAGAGACCCCTAAGCAAACTGTCTCATAAAACCAAGACACATATATGCATATGTTGCTGAGCAGAACCTCTAAATCCTTAAATCCTAAACCCTAACGGACCAAAATAATTCCTCAGAAAAAACGCTCAAAACCAACAAGGCCGCTTTGCAAGGGTTACTCCAAGAATGCCTAGAACAAAAAAAAAGCGCCCAGACCCAAACCCTCATTCGCAAGTCCTAGATTCTAAACCCTCAACCTAAACCCTAAATGCTAAGCCTTCAACCTTAAGCTTAAGTTTGGGCAAAAGTGAGCTCAAAGCCTTCATCCATCTTCAACAAAATGTCTTCCCTTCGGCAAAAGTAAGCTCCAAACCCTGAAGCTGGTTAGGGTTTAGGGTTGAGTCTTCCCTTTGGCAAAAGTAAGCTCCAAACCCTGAATCCCTCTTTTAAAAAATGTCTTCGCGTTGGAGCCCCTACCTATATATACCCTAATATAATATAGTAGCTTCCATTTTCTTTTCCATTATCCCAATATAACCCTAACATTACCCCAATGGGTAGTTCTAAAACCCTAAACCCTAAACCCTATAGGGTTCTGCCTGGATGGGTCACTCTGCCACCAGGCTCCATAGCCGCTCCACGACGAGCCTTCGGAGCTAATGAGTAGGGGACTATGGGATTAGGGGTTTAGGGGTCTAGGGATTTAGGGTTTAGGGACTCAGGGTTTGGAGATTTAGGGTTTAGGGTTTAGGGATCTATGGGTTTTGGGTTGAGGGTTCAGGGCTGAAGCAGGGTGTGGAGCATTGACGCTCGCCATTATAGGGAAACTTGACGAAAGGGCTCTTGAGCATGCCACCTGCAAACCTGCTACAAAGTCCCACTGTTGACACTAAACATCCTGCATGACCTTAACATACTATTATACCATTATTCCCAAGGTTTAGAGTACTTAGGATCATGCAGGATGTTTAGTATCCACCGTAGTTGTTGAGTTTCCTGCTTAGGGTTTAGGGTTTAGGGTTTAGGGTTCAAGCAGCGATAACATGTAATCATGATAGGACTGCATATACCCATACACCCCATGGGGTTGAAGGGTAGCTACCCGCTGAAGCCCCTACCCGGAACCTGCATGTCCTTCCCTTTGGGGTTCTGTCCTACACCCTAAGCCAGAAAACCCTAAACCTACTATAGAGAACATTCCAACCTCAGGGTTGCTGTTAAGGAACTCAAACTCAGCTGCCATCAGCTATACCAGGTGTCCTCTGCATGTGAGCTTAGCTAAAACTTCTCAACCGCCAACCCTAAACCCTAAACATCTGCCGCCCAGAACCCTAAACAACAAATTTCATAGAGGCGGCCTTGCCACGCCACTGGGAGATGCTAGGTAGCAATATTTTATCAAGCATTGGCAGTATACGTAGTAAGAATGGGTTTAGGGTTTAGAGGTAACTACAAGTGACTGAAGGATCTTACCTGGTTGTAACTTGGGTTTTCCTTGCCTACAGAGGACGATGGTCTGATCACAGCGCGATATCAGTCTCGCTTCCTCTCTCGCCGCCCGGGCGCTAGTATCTATCTCACCATGACAATACAGAAGGGGTATGAGTTTGGTTTAGGATCAGATCATTGGACCTTCGAGTTTGGGGCGTCCTATAGTCCCCCTTTAGTAGATAGAATATGGCTTATTATACTATACCCAAAGCCATATTCTATCTACTTAAGGGGGACTATAAACCCTGGATGCTAAACCCTAAACCCTGAAGTCCTGAAGTCCTTCGATCTTGTCTGCCATGGAACTCGGAGGATGGCGCTCACCGCTGAGAAAAGGGAATACGCCATCACAGGGGAATCCTATAGCCCCCCTTCAGTAGATAGAATAGAATATGGGGTTTATACTGGAATAATGGGGAATCCTATAGTCCCCCTTAAGTAGATCGAATATGGGGTGTATACTGGAATAATGGAAAGGAAAATGGAAACTACTACTTTTTTTAGGTTAGGGTATAATCCCCCTTATGTAGATAGAATATGGCTTTGGGTATGTTATAAAAAGATCCCCATATACCCCATATTCTGTCTACTGAACAGGAACTATAGGTTCTACTAAGGATTGGGGTCCAGGGTAGCCTGCCACATAGCTGAATCTCTGCATTTCTGTCGCCTGTGCGGCTCTCTGTCTGCGCACAGGCCTGTACACTTGAAAGTTGAATGCATACTGCAAGCTCTTATTGAGCTTGACTTCGAGAACGCTTCCTCCTCCGCCTGGATGGTGAGAATACATTAAAGCGACCTGGTGGAGACAAAGACCGGCGTCTACGCCGGGCCTCTTCCTCTCGCTGGGCATGCTGACGACGCAGCTCATCGCGCTCACGCCAGGCTTCCTCCGCTCGACGAGCATAGGTCTCCCGACGCGCCTCGTACTCGAGGTGCCGACGCTCCCTTTTCAGCTGGCCTTCCGCCTCAAGCCTAGCAACCAGAGAGCTCTCGCGGGGCCTACTGCTCTCTCGCTGGGAGCATTCTTTGTGGAAGGCACGCTGCTTTGCTTGCTGCCTCTGGCGTTCGCATGCTTGACGGCTTCGTAATACGTGGGATGATTTCGAGCTCTTCATCCCAGCCTGTGAAGCGCTCCTCTCCGGCGCTCACATGGGAGTTGGGCTGGATTATTACGGCAGTGATGGCCACAGCATCGCTGCTGACAGTGATGTTTGCGTTCTTTTTTTTGTTGCGTTTCTGGGTTGCTTGGGAGGGGTCGTAAGCGACTTCGATGATGGCTCTGTGGAAGAGACCATCATCAAAGACAGCGTGAGGCCTTGCGAACCAGATGCCCTTGGCCAAGCCAGGAGCCACGCACAGGCCAGGTTCACTGAACTCGTGCCCCTTCCCCTTGTCATTCGATTCCAGTAGCACCCCATGGCGCAAAATGCTTCTGAGGCCGTAGAACCACGTCCCGTGGTAGGCCCGCTTCCACTTAGGGCCAGGCTGTATTTGAGCAGTGTCGGGAATTCTTGGGGCCTTGTACTTGTAGTACAAGCACGGGAAGTTCGGTTTGCAGTCAGCAAGTTCAGCAGGTGCAGGATCCTTCTTTGGGTCGCGTTCCAATGCGTCTTCCAGACCGCGTTCAGACAGCCAGCTCTGGAAGTGGTGGTTGAACAGCTCCCGGTCCAGCCCGGGTGGTCCTGCAAGCTCGGAACGCTCCACAAAGGGCTTCCCCTTGCCGTTTGCCAGCTTCTTCCAGGTTGCTACCATCGATGCCCTGCCCTTCTCTGCCTTTGCAATGGCAAAATCTAGACCATCTGCGCATGGGCTCGCAGAGGCTTGGCGTTGCGGCGTTGCCGATTTTTCGGCTTTCACTTCTGCCTGCTCAGCGTTGAACTCAACAAGCTTCTTTTGGTGCGAAGCGCAACGGCGTCTTTTGCCGTCGTCTTGCGTTTTCTCCGCAGTATTGTCTCTGGGCGCCTCACGCACGCAACCATGCTCGGGCTTCTCCCTGTCATGGCTGGCATGCTGGCGCTTCCTCTTCTTTTGCTGCAAGTCGGGCTTAGGAGCTTCAGGTGCGCATTGGGAGGGTCGTCGCATCCACCTCCCGAAAACACAAACGTACTCAGAAGGCCCAGTGACCTCAGTCACATGCGCCGTTGGATCAAAGTCAGCACTCAGGTTGCCTGTCATGTTGTAGACTGTCTCTGTTTCAGCTCTCAGGCAAGCCAACCATGTTCGGCTAGCTGCTATAGGAGCTCAAGTTTGACAGACTTTAGTGCCTCAATGTTTGCCCACTTGTGTCTGTACGTGCATGTAAGGAATATGGATTCATGCTTGCTGGCTCGTGCTGACTTGAACCACCTTTGGGCTGCACAACTGGGTTGCCATTGGGATCCGTAGTCTAGGCTACCACAATCAGGAAGCCATCTCGTTAACTTTTGCCCCACATCATTCACTGTATACACATATGGTAGTTTCCCAAAATGGGGGACCCCAATATAGACCCCAAAATACTATTATCCTCATTATTGGGACCCCCAAAATGGTACCCCTAATTTTGGGAAACTACCATATTATTATTATTATTATCATTATTATTACGGTAACTGAGTTCGAATTCGAATTCCTTGACAGCAGCCAAGGCCAGCCGCACCTGCCGAGATAGACACCTTGAAGCTCATAATTAGTCCCCCTTAAGTAGATAGAACCCCAGGTCCCCTTAAAGGGAGGATATAGGGGTTATATAGGGATAATGGAAAAGAAAACGGAAACTACTATTTAGGGTTTAGGGTCCCCCTTAAGTAGATAGAATATGGGGTACATGGGGATCTTACTGTAAATACCCAAACCCATACAGCATCTACTTAAGGAGGACTATATACTGGCCTCGAATTTCTGGCAGCTTTCTTTGCGGACTTTCTCAGAATTAGCGCAAGCGATCCTGAATGTAAGATAATACTATACCCAAAAGGAGGATATAAGCTTACTCTATATTGGGTACCGCGATGTTTCCAAATCACATACTGCCCAAGTAGTCCTGAATAAGGAATTCCTCCAGGCCCTTCTCCACTTTGAAAACCCTCAAACAGCAGGGGTGACCGAATGAAGGAATGAAGGAAGCCTTGCTTTGAACAGGTGACCCCGGTCAACCAAAGCAAACCGAACCACGCCCCAAAACTGGGGTTTATAGATTGAATATCGCCCCCAGCCTGTCAGAGTCTATATTGGGTCCTATTAGGCACTTTATATGTAATTAACTGCTTTATAAATTGGTCCAAACTGTTACAAAGTGGGGGCAATACCCAAGGTAAGGGTCGGAGATGCCCCTGACCTGACCTGAGTTCGGAACCCTTAGCCTTAACCATTCTAGAGTACCTGGACCCAAAAGTATGTAAAATAATGGCCTTTATGGCTGTCATTTTGGGTTTAGGGCTATTATTTTACATACTTTGAGGGTTTAGGTAGACACCTAAAGTCTGGGGTTCAGGTTTGGGGCATGGGAAAATAGAAGGGTTCAGCGTGTAGAGTTTGGGGCTCATGAACAAAGCTACGGTTCCGCTTTCTCGGTCAAGGGCGGGGACTCCACTGTTCCAACTTCCTCAAATCCACAGCCAGGACCTTCCTTGTACCCATTGGGGACATTGGGGATATATGGTCCCTAATAATGGGTATTTAGGCCCTAATAGAGGGTAGGAGGAGGGTCTAGGAGTATAGCATAGACATTGAAGAGTTTAGTGTTTCGGGTTTACAAAATGATATAACTTCATAGTCCTAATTAGGTTGTTTCAATACTCTAAGAATAAAGCTATGTTCAAGTCTGACCCAGTGCAGAACATGCTGAACCTTCCAGAAGCCAAGCAGCCGTCTTCACTGGGCTCAACCCAGTCTGCTGGCCTTCACATCTTTGTAATGGAGAGCGAGGGTTTAGGGTTTTGGGGTTTCTGGGTTTTGAAGGTTCAGAGTTTAGGGCTTAGGACATGCCGGAGGGAGAAAGCTACGGTTGCATAACGTGGTACGAACTGCAACTTTTCATAGTCGTGAGGCTGACAAGAGGGAGCCCTCCGGTTGTGCTTCTTTTTTGGGGGAGCCCTAAACCCTAAACCCTTAAACCCCAAACCCTGAACCCTAACCCCTAAACCCTGAACCCTAAACCCTGAACCCTTCAACAACTAAACCCTTGAAGGGCATTCAGGGTCCAGGAAGCCGCCTAGGGTTCCTGAAAATTCCCGTGGCAAGTACTGATATGTTGGTTTCAAGGGTTTAGGGTTTAGGGGCCAAGGCTTAGGGTTTATGGTTTAAGGGTGTGGGTTTCAGCTGCCCTTAGTCTGACAAACCACACCCAAAGAACAGCACCCCTGAGGATCTGTAGCATGCGGAGGGAGTGCCTTCAGATGATAGCCGCAAAAAATGGCTTTATGGTGGTCATATATGTAAGGTGTATGGCATATATTGATATGAGCTATAGTCTAAACTCCTAGTATCCCCCTGAATAAACCCTATAGTAGCCCCCTCTTCCGACTATAGTTCACATAGGGATATTTTGGGCTCAAGGCTTCTGGCAAGGTTTGTTTTGGGCTGTAGGGATTCTAGAGAGGCTCTCTTGAGGGTGTTGCACTTCCATACCTTGCATCTTAACTCAAAGGGCACGGTGCGTGCTAAGATATGAGGCCCTCTATTCAGGGTTTAGGGTTAAGGCTGTAGGGTTTGGGGTTGCTACAGGTGCCAAGATCCAGACTTTGAGCAAAAATCCTTGAAGAACACAGCCATTCTGCCTCACATCCTGTCCATACTCCTCACTTCCTCAACGACTTGGAACGCATGCAAGCTTTCCTCCGCAAAATGCTCAAACGTCCAAATCAGTGGAAAGAGGCGAAACAGCACACCATGACGGTTTGCCTGTTTGCTATGACCGGAGAAGGGAAGTGTAGCTGGGTCTCGCTGCTCTGGTCCCTTTCCCGCCCTGCATGCGCCTGCGCTCGCCCCGGTGCACGCGGGCCGGTGGCTCTTGGAACCGCCTGTCAGAGGGTCAAATAAACATGTGAGCCAAAGTCTAAACTCCTAGAATCCCCCTAAATATCCCCTATGTAGTCCCTGAAATAACCCCCCTTTAAGGAGTCTAGACTATAGCTCATGTAGTGGTTAGGCTTCAAGCTGTTGACCTTCAAAAACAGGGGTGAGGTATGCAATGCAAAGGCAAAAGGCAGGCAGAGCATACGATACAGCACTTCACAGGGTTCCCTGAGCCCTTTGTCATAACCAAGCACCTCACACCAGACTTAACTCAGCTTGGGTTATAGTCACCCTTTGGTAGATTTATTAATTTATCTATTTTATAGAATTATAAATCTGTATAAAAATGAATGCTTTTAAGTAGTTATGGCGTTTCTGCATTGTCCCGTCAACATTGGAACCCCGATGTACATACATTGCTGGCCCCGACGCAGACCCCAACAGATCGCAATCCTTATTTAAGGACTCCCAAAAGACCTAATTGTTGGAATCCGCAAGCCCCTGCTCATCCATAAACCCTCAACCCTGTGCATCCTCATCCCTAATCCCTAAACCCTAACCCCCTTCAAAGGACTCCGAAAAATCCTCTGAACCCCCAAAGATGGCCTCGCCGCTGCGAGAGCCGCACCGAGCCAAACTCGCCGTCGTGGCTCCAGGGGCAGCCTGCATAGGGTTTAGGCTTTAGGGTCCTTTTATTCTTATAGAGGTTATATAGGGAGAATGGAACATCAAATGGAAACTACTATTTAGGGTTCATGGTTAAGGGTTTAGGGCTTCCTTTTTGTCAATATAAGGGTTATATAGGAAGAGTCGAGAATCAAATGGAAACTACTATTTAGGGTTTATGCTTAAGGGTTTAGTGTTTATGGATTATGCTTCGGGGTTTATGGTTGAAGGTCCAGGGTTTATGTCTTCAAGGCTCAGGGTTTAGGGCCCATGCTTAAGGATTTAGGGTTTCGGGTTTGGGGTTCAGTTCAGGGTCCCTAAACCCTAAACCCTACACCGTTTAGGGTTTCGGGTTTAGGGTTCAGGGTTTAAGTGTACTGCTGGTGCAAAGGGAGTGTGGGGAGTGGGTTTCAATGACGCTAACCTCCCCTACCCGGCCTTCAGCACCAGCAAGCAAATCGAAGGTTTCAAATAAGGACCCCCCAGTACGGACCCTAGTCCTGAGGTGCCTATATGATTTTAGGGTTTAGGCTTATTCATTACGCCTGAACTGTAAACTTGTAATACCCAGAACCTCCCTTTCGGAACTCAGACAGCAGGATTCGAAAGAATAGAACCCCGAATATGAGCACGTTACCAGGTTGGGGGAGAATAACGAGGTGTTGTGAGGGATGAGGATCTTGGCTTTTTTCTTGGGAGGGCGTTGTGGTTTGGCTTTGTTTCAACTGGAAGTTTCTTAGAATGGCAAGGTGGGGGGGGGCAGTTCGGTGACCCTAAACCCTAAACCCTAAAGGGTTTCAGGGGCGTGTACCTAAGGTTTAGGGACTTCAGTGTTTAGGAATCCTCCAAAGAACAGTCGCCCTATTGACCTTAGGAGGACCCCCCACCCAGTAATAGTGACTATAAGGGAGAATAGGGTTTAGGGTTTAGGGTTTAGGGTAATTAGTGACTATAAGGGATAATGGGGATCATATTAGGGTCCTCTTATATTCCTGTCATACCACTATTACAGGGCGGGGGGTACTCCTAATATAGACCCCAGATCGAATGAGGTCATAGTCGAGTCATAGTGTTGATGCTCGAGATCCTGCCTGACTCTAGCATATCAAAACACAGGGCTTCAAAAGGATAAGGCGTGTAGGGTCACGCAGCACGTTTAATTTCAATATGAACTACATATGGGTTCCCGAAACTTAGGAGTACCATGCTGGGGGTCCCCGTAATAAGGATTCTAGCAATTGGTAGGTCTCTATTGGGACCCCCTTTTGTGGCTATAGTCCCCCTTAAGTAGATAGAATATGGCTTTGGGTAAATTATGACAAGATCCCCATATACCCCATATTCTATCTACTTAACATCTACTTAAGGGGGACTATGTTAACTACAAACCCTAAACCCTAAACCCTAAGGGGCCCACAATTTGAACCTTTGAGCAGCAAGGCATGCCTCCCCTCGCAGCTGGCTGCACGCCGCTGCTCTTCCTTGAATGCATAGACTCTGGTTCCTTATTGGGA